TTTTGTTTCACGTGGATATTGGAACGCGAGTGAAGTAGGCTACATAACAAATAATCATTTGCCATTCAAATACATCGCGAATAAGGAAACATTTGATTTTGTGTGGAATGAGAGACCCAACGTTGGTTTCAGTTTCGTTTTAGCCTAAATGAATTCGTTTTGGCTTGTGGTTTATATTGTTATAGCTTCTTATATTTTTAATTCTTGTTCTTTTCTAAATACTGTTAATTGAAAGGATTTGTTGTGGAGTGAGGGGAACTAAAATAGCCTAGCTATGTCTACAGTGTTTATTATAATGTTTGTAAACATTTCGCGTCGGCATTAGGCCTAGCTATTTCTGAATGAAACAATAAAATGCGACTTATGTTTTTTGACATGTTAGATAGACAATAGATAATAGATAGACATGTTTTTTCCCCCTAAAAAAACAATTTTTTTTATATGCGTAGCGTAGGCCTATTTCAACCTTTTTAAATATTTTGATAAATTACTGAAAAAATAAATAATTTAACGACTTTTGTTTAACTGATTGTATTAATCGGTCAAAATTCTTACGGTCGGTTAACCGGTTAAATGGTTAAAATGAACATCCCTAATGAACAGTGTATATTAGTATGACTTTAAATATAAAATATAAAATTGAGTTAAAAAATATTAAATTAAAATATTTAATATATATATTTTTTTTTTAATTTTTTTTTATTTTAAGAAATACTATCAAAAATGTTTATGTAAAAACATTGTAAAAAATAAATGCATTTTAACGTGTTTCGCACAGCTAGTCTAGATACTAGCTGTGTTTATTGTTTTAGTTCTGCATATGACCAACTATTCTTATGGGAACAATGAATAATTCAGCTGTCTATTAATAACCTATAACGTCTTTCAAAGCCCCTGATTTGCAGTAAATGTGATTACAAGCATAAACAAGACTAAAAAGTAATTTATTTGCAACCATAATACATAAATGGCAATACATTTTTATGACATTGAGTGCTTATTATTTTGGTAGGGAGATGTTCAAAACTTATGTACAGTATGTTACAATTTTTCAGTTCTAATGACGCACATAAGGTTTCTTCCCCAGCTGTGAAATGTTTTTGTGCAGATTTACTGCATGAAACTGGAAACCCTGGAGACTTATAGAGTGTGCCTACAGCCATTTAACAAGTGACTCAAAATTATTCACTTTTACTTTTCGCAAAAACAAAGTAACAGAGAAAGAACGAGCTGCACACAAGTGAAAGAACCGGCAAAGTCGAGATGATGTTGATCCGTCTGCGTTTTCAAAGAGTCGAACAGCTCACCGTCTCCAGACAACAGGCGCATCTCTGTCTTTTAATTATTTCAAATGCAGCCCAAGGAGGCAATTACACGCAGGAGAAAACAGCAACCGTCAACACCCCAGCAATGAAGGCAGGGACGAGAGAAATCCATCCTGACAACTATGATATTGGAGAGCGCGGAGGAAACTGCAACACTGGAATAAAAGTGTTGGAGCAATAAAGCTGCTGGAATTATCACAGCCCCTGCAACCGCGGGAGGAAGTCTCACACAGATATATAGAGCAGCGATACCAGATTACTGCACGGCTGCTTGATAAATACTTATGTAATATGTATTTCTAGGTGCTGTGAAACCACTCTACCTCGAGCAGGCGGCTAGAGGGACACAAAAGAGATGTGTGGGCAGATTTCTGTAGCTTACTCTGCGATACATTCAGTTTTTTGACATGTTAGATAGACAATAGATAATAGATAGACATGTTTTTTCCCCCTAAAAAAACAATTTTTTTTATATGCGTAGCGTAGGCCTATTTCAACCTTTTTAAATATTTTGATAAATTACTGAAAAAATAAATAATTTAACGACTTTTGTTTAACTGATTGTATTAATCGGTCAAAATTCTTACGGTCGGTTAACCGGTTAAATGGTTAAAATGAACATCCCTAATGAACAGTGTATATTAGTATGACTTTAAATATAAAATATAAAATTGAGTTAAAAAATATTAAATTAAAATATTTAATATATATATTTTTTTTTTAATTTTTTTTTATTTTAAGAAATACTATCAAAAATGTTTATGTAAAAACATTGTAAAAAATAAATGCATTTTAACGTGTTTCGCACAGCTAGTCTAGATACTAGCTGTGTTTATTGTTTTAGTTCTGCATATGACCAACTATTCTTATGGGAACAATGAATAATTCAGCTGTCTATTAATAACCTATAACGTCTTTCAAAGCCCCTGATTTGCAGTAAATGTGATTACAAGCATAAACAAGACTAAAAAGTAATTTATTTGCAACCATAATACATAAATGGCAATACATTTTTATGACATTGAGTGCTTATTATTTTGGTAGGGAGATGTTCAAAACTTATGTACAGTATGTTACAATTTTTCAGTTCTAATGACGCACATAAGGTTTCTTCCCCAGCTGTGAAATGTTTTTGTGCAGATTTACTGCATGAAACTGGAAACCCTGGAGACTTATAGAGTGTGCCTACAGCCATTTAACAAGTGACTCAAAATTATTCACTTTTACTTTTCGCAAAAACAAAGTAACAGAGAAAGAACGAGCTGCACACAAGTGAAAGAACCGGCAAAGTCGAGATGATGTTGATCCGTCTGCGTTTTCAAAGAGTCGAACAGCTCACCGTCTCCAGACAACAGGCGCATCTCTGTCTTTTAATTATTTCAAATGCAGCCCAAGGAGGCAATTACACGCAGGAGAAAACAGCAACCGTCAACACCCCAGCAATGAAGGCAGGGACGAGAGAAATCCATCCTGACAACTATGATATTGGAGAGCGCGGAGGAAACTGCAACACTGGAATAAAAGTGTTGGAGCAATAAAGCTGCTGGAATTATCACAGCCCCTGCAACCGCGGGAGGAAGTCTCACACAGATATATAGAGCAGCGATACCAGATTACTGCACGGCTGCTTGATAAATACTTATGTAATATGTATTTCTAGGTGCTGTGAAACCACTCTACCTCGAGCAGGCGGCTAGAGGGACACAAAAGAGATGTGTGGGCAGATTTCTGTAGCTTACTCTGCGATACATTCATGCCACATGACGACAGTGGGCGGAAGAGAGCGCTATCAGTGAACTCAAAGTGGCTCTGATATTCCAGCTGGTTTTCAGGATTGTTCGTAATAAATGCACTAACCACTAGCGATGGAAAAACACAACTCTTTGTTAGATGAGGAGATAAAAGCAGCATCCAGAACGTCAGATGCATTCAGAATGTCTCACAGCCATCCTTAAAATCTGCTGTATGTACATAATATAATACAGTAAACTAATAACATAATAATAAATACCCCCTTCACGGTCATACCTTTAAAGATTAATACATTAAAATACATGATCAATACCAAACTTCACAGATTGATCACTATTGTTGTTTTATGATGATGCCAACCAGCATGCGATGAATGTTTTAACTGATATGTAATTATTGCCGTTTTTTGACATAAAAATAATCATTAGACTACAACAATAACGCATAACATGCTTTATGAACATTATAATAGTATTATTATTATTATATTAACAACAACAATGATAATAATTATTGTTACTGGAAATTAATTCTTGTTTATTAAAAAGTTTTTGTGTCTAAATAATAATAACAATAACAACAATAATAATGATTATTATTACTGTTTTTTAGTGCTGCGTTCGATACATCGATACGATGTATCGAGAGATTTGACGATGCGAGTATCGATACAGCTGTCTCTGTATCAATATTGCGGCACGTGTGCAGCAGTGGACTGCACAAGAACACCGTTTAAAATGGAGTAGAAAAGTGCGAGGTTTCTAAAAAATAATGAATAGAGCATAGCATATAGGCTACAACAAGGTTTAATCTGGCCGCAGAGGAACACAACCGGGGTTGCCTGATATAAAGAGACTTAATCCCCGAAACAGAGCTTCCCACTTGTGCAATACGGAAATATCTCCTAAGTGTGTTACTTATTTTTGTCAACCTGGCAACCATGTGCACGCGCGCTCTCTCCACTGTGGATAAACGCGCTGGCTTTCTGAAAACACTGGTAAACTTGCAGTTTAGGGATCTCCACTTCTATATTCTATTCTCAGAAAAGTGTAATTCATCAAGTGTTCATTTATGAGAGAGAGAGAGCGAGAGAGAGAGAGAGGCTGTTTATGTATGAATTACCACCGTTTGCCGCATTTCTCTATTAACAGTGAAGCTGTGGCTTTAATTCCTTTAGAAACAATGATGTTACCAGCTCCTTGTTGAGAAAGATAATGTAGCTCTTGAGCGATTAAGCAATTTTTTTGATAAAATTGCGGGGCAGCACTGATAAGTTTGTGTTGCTGAATGTCTGAGTGCGTGCGCGCAACGTGATCTGTGTGAGTGACTGAGCATGTGTGTGCGTTAGATTCAGAAGACAGTGCATTAGTTTAGAACTCTTCTCATTTTTATTTAAATTTTTTAAACAGAGTGTGTGTTAATTTGTGCAATGATAACCTACCAGCAATGTAAAGATGATTTTTTAATATATTAGTATGAGTACATTACAACATAAATTTATTAGAACGAGTACATTATTATCTATGGGCTTAAAAACGAGATGTAAACAATCAGAATATAGTACCTGGTGGGGAGTGCCCAATGTAAACATGAAACATATGCCATTACCTATATTGTACTGTGGTACAGTTATGGAAGCCCTTCATAATGCAGAGGTCAACTGCCTGCTCTGCCAATAGTTAGAAATGGCCCTATAGTATGCAGAGTTTAATAAACAGCTGTTTTACTAAATTCTGCTGAGGTGAAATTCAGTGCAGTCCTGTATCGTGATACGTATTGTATTGTGGCATCTGTATCGTGATACATATCGTATCGTGACTTTATTGGTGATACACAGCCCTACTGTTTTTGTATTATTGCCTACAGCAATAATAATAATAATAATCATCATCATTATTGTTTCATTATGTGTATACAGTGTAAATGAAAATTGATTTTTGCTTATTAAAAAGTTTTAATCTGTGTCTAACTAATAATAATAATAATAATAATTTATTATTATTATTTATATTAACAACAACAACATTGATCATAAGAATTATTGCTATTGGAAATTAATTTTCGCTTATTAAAAAGTTGTAGTCTGTGTCTAAATAATAATAACAACAACAATTATTTTTGTTGTTAATATAATAATAATAATAATAATAATTTCCTTGTTATTATTATTGTTGTTTTCATTATGTTTACAGCATAAATGAAAATCAATTTGTTTATTATTATTATTATATTAACAACAACAATAATAATTATTGTTACTGGAAATTCATTTTTGTTTATTAAAATGTTTTTGTTTAAATAATAATAATAATAACAACAATAATTATTATTATTATTACTGTTTTTGTTGTTAATACAATAATAAAAATAACAACAGCAATAAAAATAATAATTATCATCATCATCATTATTGTTATTATTATTATTTTCATTATGTTTATAGTGTAAATGAAAATAGATTTTTGCTTATTAAAAAGTTTTAGCCTGTGTCTAACTAATAATAATAATAATGATAATAATAATAATTTCCTTGTTATTATTGCTGTTGTTTTCATTATGTTTACAGTGTAAATGAAAATCAATTTGTTTATTATTATTGTAAATATATTGTAAATATATTGTAAATATATTAACAACAAAAACAACACCAATAATAATAATAATAAAATGGAAAGTCATTCATAAAAAAGTAAAAACATTTTATTATTAAAAAAATATTTAAAAAAAATGCATTTCTGAATAAATGGCTGCACTTCTGAATAAATGGATAAAATTCCGCTGGCTTGGACGGGTTAGATTTGTTGTTCTAAAAACATTCTTACAAGCTTTTCACAAAAATACCTTTAGAATTATTAATGCTTACACAGGATTCACATAAAATATTACCAAAATCAACAAGGTACATCCATATTTATATATAAAAGACAAGCTATGTACTTCATTTACAGAAGTCAACCCTAAAGGTCATGAAGAACAGAGAATATTAACTGCACACCAGGTTAGTAGACTCACACCTGAGGATAAACACTTAAAGTGTTCAGAGACACTGGTTAACACATCTGGCATCTCACCATCTTGAAAGACTCTCTCGACGTTAAGACCATAGGTGGAGCAGGTTTCGTAATATGTGGAGCGTTTCAGGTCGTTGGACAGTTTTCGAGCCCGGGCGTCATCGATCACTCTTGGGTTGGCAGCGCTGATGGCATCTAGAAATCATATGATGGGATAAGACAAAGCATATTCATTTTTGGGTGTACTATTCCTTTAAACTCACTCTTCGACACACATAATGATCTACATGCTCATAATTGTTAATTATGTGTCTCATCAAAGTGCAATTTGCAAACAAGTACTGGGCAAATGTGTAAGAAAGAGTCTGTCAGCTCACTGCAGATGAGACTTCATATCCCGCTGCTTTGTTAAAGCAAGACGAATGTACGAATGGTTTCGTCACCTTTAGACTATGACTAAGTGCGAGACTTTCATGGAGGATTTAATAAAAACAAGTGCACATCAAATTTAAGGCATCCTGTGTTCTACTGTAGAAGAATAATAGAGTCAGTGATGGTGTTATGACTCACCCTGCGTCCCCACCAGCACCATGGGAACCTCTGCTGTGTTCCTGTAGCTGGAAAGGCGCAGGAAGTAGTTATAAACTGTCTGGAAGCTGATCTCATCCTCCAAGCTGAAGACGAACACCACCGAGTACATCAAGATAAACTAAATTAAAATAAATTATGCCCTGGTAACTAGTAAAATATATTTTTAAAATATATTATTTAATTTAATTTAATGTTTATTTTATATCAAAAAAGTTTTTTTTTGTTTTAATTTAGTTTCTGTTAAATATAATAAGCCTCTCTATCTATCTATCTATCTATCTATCTGAACAGCTACTGCGCCGATGAACCATGTTATATGCTAGTTATGTTTTGTAGTGTAGGCAGGCACATTTCAGTAATTTTAAGCGATTTTACTGAAGCCCTACGTGTGAGTTATTCCTCTATTTGTTTTCCATTTCCTGCAGGAGAATAATTCTAATCATGGATAAATTACACGACCGGTAACTTGAATTGTTTCAGAGCCCTGAGACACACTCATTGACGTCTGCTTGAAATTTTAAGGGCCACATTACAAATTCTTGTGGTAATTTGCATTCTAATCAATTACGCATTACCATAAAACCAGCTAAACGGAACACAGACTAACAGAGAATAATTATCGCCGCTATTCCACCAGGAGCTACACTGGCAGAAAAGTTTCACTCGAAATCCCCATTCCCACAACACAGGAAGCCAGTCCTCATCCACGGCTGAAAGCTGCCGTGAGAACCATCAGACTATAATTACACTGAGCCGCAGCAAAATGTGAAAATAGGGCCACCCTGAAATGGGCTCCATGGGGCAAGTACAGCGGTTCATCTCGACACGGCCCCGCGTCCCTCTCTATGCTGGGGGAATGAGGACTGGGAGACACATTTGTGGAATATTTTAGCAGCTATTTGGACAGTTCTCTGCTTTTCTCAACTTGTGAAAAATCTCACTTTCTCAGATATCATCAATTATTGTAGCGCCGCGTCAGCATGCAGCCCTGGAGCTGCAAATTGAACAAGATAATTAAGGTGTTTGGGGTATTACTAGTACTTTACATGGAAATATCTAAACAGTTTTTTATCCACAAACTCTTCAGTTAGACGTCCTTACATGACCAGAAAATTCACCCAAAACGACTTGATTTGTTGGAGCACAAATGGAGATATTTTCAAGAATGTTCATGCTGCTCTTTTCCATACAGTGAAAGCATACAATGACCAATTTCCCCTACTTTTACAATTAGTTTACCTTTGCTGTCATCTAATACTTACTTTAATCCATAAAAACACTACAAATTTAAGTATACTGTTAAATGTAATCTTTAGCAAATCTCATAATGAACATCCATTTTTATACTGCACATTATGCATTATTATCAGTATATCATATTTTAATTGTGAAATCATTCCTTCTCTATAATACAAGTCATGATGAACACATGTACGGTGCTTTTTCACCCTTTTTTGGACCTCAATAGCCACTGGTCACTATATACTTTGTTGTTCAATCAATTTTCTATGGAAAAGAGCAGCATGAACATTCTGCATAATATCTCCTTTTGTGTTCCACGGAAGAAAAAACTTCACACTTGTTGGCACACACATGTCTTGGCATCTAGCTGAAATAAAAAGCTTTATATACAGTATGTAATATATATTAGTATATTTATATTTATTTCAGTTAATGTTTATTTTATTTCAAGTAACATTTTTTATGGTTTTAATTTTAGTTTTGGTTAACTATAATAACTCTGCTGATTTCATATTGAACTTGTGGCTTACCTGCAGTTCTGGCGGGCCACCTTCATCCCTGATCAGCAAGAGATAACTCTGTCCATCCACCACAATCTCCTTTTTAAACCTCCCTCCTGCAAGAACACAGAATAACATTAATTATACTGTTTCTACAACATGGTCGTCTCTAAAGCTCATTTACCAGCAGGCAGTGTGCTGCTGACGTCAACGCCATCAAGATTAAGGGACTGAAGATACACCCCTGAGGAACCCCCTCTAGCCCAGTCAATTGATCGCACAAACATTTCCCATTTTCAGCTTACGCATACCTTCTGGCAGTTGTGAAGTGTTGGACAAGGGATGGAGAAAGAGAGAGAAAGAGCGAATGAGTTAGTGAGCGTGTAAATGAGTGTTTGGGATGAACGTTTTTGCATGTCTAAACATGACTAATAATTAAACCCAGCAGAGCGCCGCCCATCGCTCCTGCTTCATTATACAGCACATGCAAACATGGGAATCTCTGTTAACACACTGATAAAAAAAGAAATATCAGCCAACATATGAAATTAGGCAAGCCTTATCCGAAATCTGAGTTATTTCGACACCAGCAGCGAGATGAGAGTCTGAGACTTTGATTTTTCACCCTTCATTTATTCCCTTCTCAACAGATGTGTTTTTTTCCTTCCTCGCAGCCGCTGGCACTGAAAGCTGATGGAACTTTGATGCCATTGAGATTCTCTCAAATTAAATTGCACTTTTTTATAGTAGGAAAGTTTGTGGAGCCGAATGAAACTTGCCTTACGGTAATCTTCTAGAAGGACAAAAGAGGAAGGGTGAGATCTTCACAAGTTGAGCTTCACCTGAAAGTGTTAGGAATTAAATAAGGAGCCAATGAAAGGCACATAATGGTACAGTGGCATGGTACAGAAATTATGTAACAATGTTAGCTGACAGAATGAAAATAAGTAATATGAAATATGAAAAAAAAAAAAGTAATATAATAAAATAGAAATATAAAAAATGTATTTAATACAAAATGTATTTAATAAAAGTATATAATAAATTATGTATAATATTGAAACAATAAATTACTGTAACAATTTCTATTTATATAAATAAATAAATTCTAAATTACTAATTCAAAACTAATTTTATTTTACAGTAAGAAATATAATAAATTATAAAAAATTATAAACTATATATACATTAGATCACTAAGTTGATTTATATATATATATATATAATGTTATAATAGTTTGTTAATATATATAAATATTTAAATAAAATAGTAAATGATTAATACATAAAACCACTATTTTTAAAATTGAATATATAATTTTATATAATGCTTTATATATTGCTTTAATGCTTTAATAAAGATTTTATTATGTGTATACACACAAACACACAATTATTTGTAAATCAATACATTTTTAAATGAAAATATCCTTTTAATAATTAAATCTTTATTAAAGCATTAAATATATAAGCAATAAACACAACACAGATTGAACTACTTTGATTATGTGAACACCGTTCATGAGGGGACTATATTGTGCAAAATGCAATGAGCCTAACTTGACTTTCCATTTCCAGTGTGATGAATAAACATGAAGCGACTGGAGTGACTATTTTGCAACAAGTTTTGATTCATTATTTGATCTGACTGCCAAAAATTAAAGATAAAAGGTATTACACAAAATCAAATTAAAAATGCAGAGCAATTAGAGCTGGACACCCTTGACATGCAACGTGATGAGAAAATGTGACAATGTAGCATAATGCATACTATTTCACTATAAAAAAATAGTCAGCATTCAGTTCAGTTCGTTCAGTGCATGACCTCCCTTTATTTTAACTCTACTTTGTTCTCTTTGCATTGGGAAATGCATGATGGAGCTTTGACACTTCTGAGCACCTCCTAGGACTGGATAAATATAATGATTGAATGCTTGTTGCACAGTGTACGACTGAAACCTGCGAAAGTTCATACCACATAGCAAATCCTTACTTCCAAGTTCAGTGACCCCTGGAGTAAATTGGCATTAAAAGGTTCACCGAGGGCACTGAAGTACAGCCCGATGGAGCAGTGAGGGACGTTAATAACAGCAGAACGAAACACAACATGACCCTACATTGAGATTTCAACCAGTGATCTCATATCGACTGAGAGAGATATTATCCATAAAGCCATTACGCCAAGAACACTACACTTTTAATTAGTTCACCTATGTCCATAGCTATTTTTATTTCGTCAATGCTTCCCTTGAGCTTAAAAACAAAAAAAAGTGTAGAATTTCAGCATAGTTTTTGCTCTAACAGGAGAAATTGAGCAATATGTTCATATTAGCCAATGTGAATACACCTGCAAGCCTGCAACCTGATATTTATTGTCTACAATATTGTAACTGCTGTTTTAACAATATGCAAACTTACATTATCGAGTGTCACTCACTTTGCAAAAAACAAACTAAAACACATCTTGAGAGGCCCAAAGCATTCACTGCATGATGAAGCCTATTAGAATGCAATTCGAATGACCCTATAATTCAAGTTCTGAGAGCAAAAATATCCTTGTATGGGTTTTTGTTTTTTCTAGTTATAAGGTATGATAATAGTTAAAGGGATAGTTCACCCAAAAATGAAAATTACCCCATGATTTACCCTCAAGCCATGCTAGGTGTATGACTTTTTTGTTATTTTGACATTTTTTAATATAACTCCAATTGTATTTGTCTGAAAGAAGAAAGTCACCTAGGATGGCTTGAGGAAGAGCCAAGGAGCCAAGCAAAATAATGCTTAATTATCGTTAGCAAAAAAAAAAATATATTTTTTTTTTGTCAATATCGCACATTCCTACTGCAAAAAAACAATTTATTTACTAAAGAAAATGCAAGTGATGCTTGCATGCAAAACAGGCTGAGATTGGTCTGAAAATCACTTCATTCCAAAAGATTTGAGGAATCAACTAGTTCAAATCTCTAACTCTAAAATAAGAGCAATAATGCTTGCATTAAGAAGCACCACTAAAAATGGTTGTTTAACTGAAAAGAATTGAATTTAACAGCTTTTTTCAAGTGCATTCACTGAAGCTTTTAAAGTAGGAGATAATTGCATTGGAGCCAGTAAGGGCATGTCTGAACATGTCAAGATAGGACAAAACAAAAATCCCTTCAGCAAAGTTTCCTGTTCATTCCGACGTTTGGCAGAAAGCCGTGCAAAATAGATGTTTTTCAGTTCTCAGTTTTTGCTGCAAAGGCTAAAAAGAAAATGACTAAGGCATCAATTATTGTAGCGCCGCGTCAGCATGCAGCCCTGGAGCTGCAAATTGAACAAGATAATTAAGGTGTTTGGGGTATTACTAGTACTTTACATGGAAATATCTAAACAGTTTTTTATCCACAAACTCTTCAGTTAGACGTCCTTACATGACCAGAAAATTCACCCAAAACGACTTGATTTGTTGGAGCACAAATGGAGATATTTTCAAGAATGTTCATGCTGCTCTTTTCCATACAGTGAAAGCATACAATGACCAATTTCCCCTACTTTTACAATTAGTTTACCTTTGCTGTCATCTAATACTTACTTTAATCCATAAAAACACTACAAATTTAAGTATACTGTTAAATGTAATCTTTAGCAAATCTCATAATGAACATCCATTTTTATACTGCACATTATGCATTATTATCAGTATATCATATTTTAATTGTGAAATCATTCCTTCTCTATAATACAAGTCATGATGAACACATGTACGGTGCTTTTTCACCCTTTTTTGGACCTCAATAGCCACTGGTCACTATATACTTTGTTGTTCAATCAATTTTCTATGGAAAAGAGCAGCATGAACATTCTGCATAATATCTCCTTTTGTGTTCCACGGAAGAAAAAACTTCACACTTGTTGGCACACACATGTCTTGGCATCTAGCTGAAATAAAAAGCTTTATATACAGTATGTAATATATATTAGTATATTTATATTTATTTCAGTTAATGTTTATTTTATTTCAAGTAACATTTTTTATGGTTTTAATTTTAGTTTTGGTTAACTATAATAACTCTGCTGATTTCATATTGAACTTGTGGCTTACCTGCAGTTCTGGCGGGCCACCTTCATCCCTGATCAGCAAGAGATAACTCTGTCCATCCACCACAATCTCCTTTTTAAACCTCCCTCCTGCAAGAACACAGAATAACATTAATTATACTGTTTCTACAACATGGTCGTCTCTAAAGCTCATTTACCAGCAGGCAGTGTGCTGCTGACGTCAACGCCATCAAGATTAAGGGACTGAAGATACACCCCTGAGGAACCCCCTCTAGCCCAGTCAATTGATCGCACAAACATTTCCCATTTTCAGCTTACGCATACCTTCTGGCAGTTGTGAAGTGTTGGACAAGGGATGGAGAAAGAGAGAGAAAGAGCGAATGAGTTAGTGAGCGTGTAAATGAGTGTTTGGGATGAACGTTTTTGCATGTCTAAACATGACTAATAATTAAACCCAGCAGAGCGCCGCCCATCGCTCCTGCTTCATTATACAGCACATGCAAACATGGGAATCTCTGTTAACACACTGATAAAAAAAGAAATATCAGCCAACATATGAAATTAGGCAAGCCTTATCCGAAATCTGAGTTATTTCGACACCAGCAGCGAGATGAGAGTCTGAGACTTTGATTTTTCACCCTTCATTTATTCCCTTCTCAACAGATGTGTTTTTTTCCTTCCTCGCAGCCGCTGGCACTGAAAGCTGATGGAACTTTGATGCCATTGAGATTCTCTCAAATTAAATTGCACTTTTTTATAGTAGGAAAGTTTGTGGAGCCGAATGAAACTTGCCTTACGGTAATCTTCTAGAAGGACAAAAGAGGAAGGGTGAGATCTTCACAAGTTGAGCTTCACCTGAAAGTGTTAGGAATTAAATAAGGAGCCATTGAAAGGCACATAATGGTACAGTGGCATGGTACAGAAATTATGTAACAATGTTAGCTGACAGAATGAAAATAAGTAATATGAAATATGAAAAAAAAAAAGTAATATAATAAAATAGAAATATAAAAAATGTATTTAATACAAAATGTATTTAATAAAAGTATATAATAAATTATGTATAATATTGAAACAATAAATTACTGTAACAATTTCTATTTATATAAATAAATAAATTCTAAATTACTAATTCAAAACTAATTTTATTTTACAGTAAGAAATATAATAAATTATAAAAAATTATAAACTATATATACATTAGATCACTAAGTTGATTTATATATATATATATATAATGTTATAATAGTTTGTTAATATATATAAATATTTAAATAAAATAGTAAATGATTAATACATAAAACCACTATTTTTAAAATTGAATATATAATTTTATATAATGCTTTATATATTGCTTTAATGCTTTAATAAAGATTTTATTATGTGTATACACACAAACACACAATTATTTGTAAATCAATACATTTTTAAATGAAAATATCCTTTTAATAATTAAATCTTTATTAAAGCATTAAATATATAAGCAATAAACACAACACAGATTGAACTACTTTGATTATGTGAACACCGTTCATGAGGGGACTATATTGTGCAAAATGCAATGAGCCTAACTTGACTTTCCATTTCCAGTGTGATGAATAAACATGAAGCGACTGGAGTGACTATTTTGCAACAAGTTTTGATTCATTATTTGATCTGACTGCCAAAAATTAAAGATAAAAGGTATTACACAAAATCAAATTAAAAATGCAGAGCAATTAGAGCTGGACACCCTTGACATGCAACGTGATGAGAAAATGTGACAATGTAGCATAATGCATACTATTTCACTATAAAAAAATAGTCAGCATTCAGTTCAGTTCGTTCAGTGCATGACCTCCCTTTATTTTAACTCTACTTTGTTCTCTTTGCATTGGGAAATGCATGATGGAGCTTTGACACTTCTGAGCACCTCCTAGGACTGGATAAATATAATGATTGAATGCTTGTTGCACAGTGTACGACTGAAACCTGCGAAAGTTCATACCACATAGCAAATCCTTACTTCCAAGTTCAGTGACCCCTGGAGTAAATTGGCATTAAAAGGTTCACCGAGGGCACTGAAGTACAGCCCGATGGAGCAGTGAGGGACGTTAATAACAGCAGAACGAAACACAACATGACCCTACATTGAGATTTCAACCAGTGATCTCATATCGACTGAGAGAGATATTATCCATAAAGCCATTACGCCAAGAACACTACACTTTTAATTAGTTCACCTATGTCCATAGCTATTTTTATTTCGTCAATGCTTCCCTTGAGCTTAAAAACAAAAAAAAGTGTAGAATTTCAGCATAGTTTTTGCTCTAACAGGAGAAATTGAGCAATATGTTCATATTAGCCAATGTGAATACACCTGCAAGCCTGCAACCTGATATTTATTGTCTACAATATTGTAACTGCTGTTTTAACAATATGCAAACTTACATTATCGAGTGTCACTCACTTTGCAAAAAACAAACTAAAACACATCTTGAGAGGCCCAAAGCATTCACTGCATGATGAAGCCTATTAGAATGCAATTCGAATGACCCTATAATTCAAGTTCTGAGAGCAAAAATATCCTTGTATGGGTTTTTGTTTTTTCTAGTTATAAGGTATGATAATAGTTAAAGGGATAGTTCACCCAAAAATGAAAATTACCCCATGATTTACCCTCAAGCCATGCTAGGTGTATGACTTTTTTGTTATTTTGACATTTTTTAATATAACTCCAATTGTATTTGTCTGAAAGAAGAAAGTCACCTAGGATGGCTTGAGGAAGAGCCAAGGAGCCAAGCAAAATAATGCTTAATTATCGTTAGCAAAAAAAAAAATATATTTTTTTTTTGTCAATATCGCACATTCCTACTGCAAAAAAACAATTTATTTACTAAAGAAAATGCAAGTGATGCTTGCATGCAAAACAGGCTGAGATTGGTCTGAAAATCACTTCATTCCAAAAGATTTGAGGAATCAACTAGTTCAAATCTCTAACTCTAAAATAAGAGCAATAATGCTTGCATTAAGAAGCACCACTAAAAATGGTTGTTTAACTGAAAAGAATTGAATTTAACAGCTTTTTTCAAGTGCATTCACTGAAGCTTTTAAAGTAGGAGATAATTGCATTGGAGCCAGTAAGGGCATGTCTGAACATGTCAAGATAGGACAAAACAAAAATCCCTTCAGCAAAGTTTCCTGTTCATTCCGACGTTTGGCAGAAAGCCGTGCAAAATAGATGTTTTTCAGTTCTCAGTTTTTGCTGCAAAGGCTAAAAAGAAAATGACTAAGGTACCGAGTCTTACTGTCGCCGGCAGAGGTGTATGAGACTTTTCGCGATGCTTTTGAAATTCAGCCCTGGTTTGGGTCTTCAGGAATCCGTCGTTCTGATTCTAATCTCTAATTTAGATTTCAGAGGGGCAGCTGGTGCCAAGAGGGCATAAACATTTAATCTCTCCGCCGTCACTCAAAAGTAAATGCCGAGGATTGATGACACGCTTGGCGGCGGCAGGCCAGGCTGCCTGACCCTCTGTTGCCATGGCAACAACAGAGTAATCGTAGAGGCGGAGCATCGGCGTGGAACTAAGAGCTGCATCTGTGCAGGAGTCAATGACAGATTACAAATTAAGGTCAATTTCAATCAAGAGTCTGGGAATGTCTGCAAACGCTTCATGCAGTGGGAATCACAGCTGCATTAATCACTCGTTTAATGCAATTGCTTTTCTGCCAAATATGAGTATAACAATACTATATCAGACTAAACAGGAAAGAGTCTGAGTAAATGTCTTCATTACTTACATAGTCTATGGATATGATATTGTGTTAAAACCATGGCTTTTTGGACATGTACTACAGTACTATCATGGTATTCTTTGAGAATGGTCTATTGTGTATGAATATAGTAATAATTCAGTGGTTAATAATAAAATGGTGGTATCAGGTAGTAATGTCAAGGTACTTCAATATATACTGGCATATTACCAAAGAACATGCTAGTACCATGGAGTACCAAGTCTTAAAGTTTTTAAAAGAAATTAATACTTTTATTTGCAAGGATGCATTAAATTGATCAAAAGTGACAGTAAAGACATGTATAATGTTAAAAAAATAAAAATAAAATTATAAAAAAAAAAATTTTTCAACAAAAACATCCTGAAAAAAGTGTCAGTTTCCATTAAATAAAAAAGAAAAGAAAATAATGCAGCACAACTGTTTTAACACTGATAATAACAATAATCAGAAATGTTTCTTGAGCAGTAAATCAGCATATTAAAATTATACAGCACATGGAAACATGGAGTACTGATGCTTAAAATTCAGCTTTGCATCACAGGAATAAACTACATTAAAAAAAGTATTAAAATAGAAAACAGTTATGTACTTATGAAAATTATAATTATATTTCAAAATACTACTGCTTTACTGTATTTTGATCCAAAAAATGTTGCATTGGTGAGCATTAGAGACTTCGTTCAAAAATATTAAGAAATTTGAGCAACCCCAAGCTTTTAAATGGTAGTCTATCTTTTATAAACCCATTGCTTTATCACTGGATACCATGGTACCATCATAGTATTTTTCTAAGAGACGTCAAAGCACAAGGCTTTATTACAGAAAATGACTGGCATTCATTTTTAATAATAAATGAATATAATCAATAAAAATAACTTGTGGCAGAGCTTCTGTTCTCTAATGCATGGTTCCTGAATTTTGTAGTATTTTCTATTATAGAAGAACAAGTATCTTTTAGTGTGGTTTCTGAAGTTCAGTACTCAGGTGTGTGTTAACACCAATCTCACAATCCCACAGCGATTCATTGATTTTCATTTTTCTCACTGCATTAGAAATGAGCATTATTCCACTTCGACGCTACAGTTCAGTCAGAGAGAAGCAGAGAATCTGACTGAATGAGACTGAACTGTGAAAGCCGAATTCAAAACAAGTCACAACAGGCTCCTGAGCGTCTTCTTCCTTCATGAGAAACACAATGTGCATACAGGCATCCAACAAAACCCACTGGGCCAGAATACTCAACATTTTACCTCATTTAAAGCAACGCGGCTATTGTTCACCATGTTCCGGGTTCAATGCAAGCTTAAATATATTGTCAACATTTTACAATTATTTTGACACGCTCTCACTAAAACAATACATTTTTATTCTTAATTTACAACAAACATCTCATTTACAATACTGCAGACACAATGTACTGCTGGAATTTTGGCTAAAGCAGTCAATTCTGTCTTTTTCAATACAGAAATGTGTATTGTATGAGCTAAAAACTGTCTAAAAATCATCCACTTAGCAGTGTAATTACTCGTTATGCATTACAGATGTAATTTTCTTTACATAAAATCAATACAAATACATGAAATACAATTTCCTTTAGTTAACCTTTCACAAAATGTTGTTTGCTGGCTTGATATGATGATAAAATTGGATGCGACTTACTCAGGAAAGGCTGGTAAGTGATTTTATCATACTAGACTCGTGTTAAGACATATTATGTTTGCTTTATGGTGATACTTTCGAAACAGTGATTCTACGGTAATCTTGCCCCATAGGCTTCTTGTGTAAGTGCATTACCAACAACACAATTTTTCTTTGCTATTACAAATTGAGGAACAACTCAAAGTCTTGATTATGTGCATGTATTGAACCCAGAAGATTTATTTTTGTATAAGTCTGGGGTCAGTAACATTTTTAAATGTGTTTGAAAGAAGTCCCTTATATGCTCACCAAGGCTGAATTTATTTGATCTAAAATACAGTAAAAAAAGCAATATTGTGAAAAATATTACAATTTCAAAGAACTACTTTCTTTTTAAATATATCAGAAAATGTCATTTATTCCTGTGATGCAAAGCTGAATTTTCAGCATCATTACTCCAGTCTTCAGTGTCACACGATCCTTCAGAAATCATTCTAATATGCTGATTTGCTGCTCAAAAAACATTTCTGATTATTATCAATGTTGAAAAAAGTAGTGCTGCTTCATATTTTTGTGGAAACCTTTATACATTTTGTTTTTCAGGATTCTTTCATGAAAAGAAAGTTCTAAAGAACAGCATTTATTTGAAATAAAAATCTAAATGTCTTTACTGTCACTTTTGATCAATTTAATGCATCCTTGCTGGAAAAAAGTATAATTTATTAAAAAAAAAAAAAAAAAAGGTACTAATGCAAATAAAAAGAGGATCTTGACTGAAGCTTGTTACACGTGTCTAAAGTTTGACTTTTAACCTCAGTGTCAACCCAAAACCATCACAGGCCATTTCTAGCTGACAAAATAATTTGTTCCAATAAAAATAAATAAATAAATGCAGTGCACAGATGAGCATATGAGACGATACAAATTCATGGCCAGCAAAGTCTGCTCCGTGGCAGGAGGTCTTGTTGGGTGACTGGCCCTGACAAACACGCTGTAGTCGGTCCTCCCCACGGCTCACTCACCCTCAGGCGACTCCTCCTGGACATATGTTCCTGTCAGATACCGATGAACTAACGCCGACTTCCCACTGGACAGGTTTCCCACAATGCCCTGCATGCAGAAACAGACACGAGTCAGGCCAAAACAGAGCAGCAAACAACAGTGTTTGGGTGCATTAAGCACACCGAAGAGAAAACAAATGACTGTCTGGAAGATAATCAATGGGATTCATTTCAGGATATTAAATTACTAATGAAACTTAAAGGTGCTCTAAGTGTTTTTGTAAACATTTGCCTAATAGACAATAATAACTTTCATCAACTATTCACTACTGACAGATAGAGAACACCCGCTGTGCATCCAGGATTTCCTTCTAACGAGTCGTCAAACAACACCTCAAGCATGGAGGAAGCAACTTTCAGGAGTTTCCTCGCACCTGATGCAACTGTTCTGCCTGTCAGTCCACTGTATGACGGCTGTTCCTGCACGGATAATTCCCTCACCGCTGCGAACAGACAGCCTTATAAACCTAACGAGGACAGATTTACCCGTCTTTCTCCTCAAACACTGGAGATGAAGGACTTCCTAGTGCTGGGCGGTATACCGGTTCATACCGAATACCGGTGTTTATTTTTGTTACGATATGAATTTTTAAAATACCGCAATACCGGTGTATGTCACTTAAACATTTGGTCATACCGCCCAGCACTAGGACTTCCTCTAACAAATATTGAAAAGGAACGACGAGGTTAGCATCAATAAAGACAGATGGAGACTTTTGAAGAACTCAAATTCCCCTGAACTTTGAATGTTGAATGCTAATTATTATTTTTGATCATTTGACTTTCAGCTACCAAGACAAACTGCTCAGATTAACACATTTTCGATATTTTAATTCCTTTTCACATGATGATTGCCCCCCCGATATTCACCATAGAAAATTTGAAAAAGTCCGTCTAAACAATATGCAGAACCAACATTTAAATGATAAGGTATTAATAATAGCTAAAAATGTCAATAACAAAAAAAAACTGTTACAAAGCCATTTTTTAAACTTATATTTACACTTCTTCACTTCATTTCATTTAACTGGTCTGGCAGCTAAATTATACCATTATACTGCCAATAATTAAATCAACACAATCAATGTACATATATACAATTAACAAACAGTTATTATAATTATATAATAATAATTATTATTATTATTACTATTAAATATATAAATAATATATAAATTAAATAATACTTATATAATACTAATACTACTAATTATTATTATAATAGCAAATAATATTTTTTTATATTTTAGTTAAAAGGAATTATTTTTAATATTATTTGTTAACAATATAATGACAATAATTAAATCAACACAATTCATATACATACATACAAACAACTAATAAACAATAATTATTTTTAATATTAATTATTATTATTATTATTAAATATAAAAATAATATATAAATTAAATAACACTTATTTAATACTACTAATTATTATTATAATAGCAAATAATTATTTTTAATATTTTAGTTAATATATTAACACAATGTTTACCTTAATTATGGCTAAATACACCAGACCAGTTAAATGAAATTAAATAAAGTGTAAATATCAGTTAAAAAAGGAATAATTTTTTGTATTATTTGATAACAATATAATGACAATAATGAAATCAACACAATCCATATACATACATACAAACAACTAATAAACAATAATTATTTTTAATATTAATTATTATTATTATTATTAAATATAAAAATAATATATAAATTAAATAACACTTATTTAATACTACTAATTATTATTATAATAGCAAATAATTATTTTTAATATTTTAGTTAATATATTAACACAATGTTTACCTTAATTATGGCTAAATACACCAGACCAGTTAAATTAAATTAAATGAAAAAGTGTAAATATCAATTTTAAAAAATTGCCCTCTTTGATATTGTACAATATTAATGACAGTAATTAAATCTAAATTTAAATGCATAAACAAATGCTAACACCAGCTATTGTCAATGTGGTCATGCATCACTAGGACCAAGTTGACCTTCAAAAGAGCACTGAATACTGCTTTCGTCATGGAAATGGAAAAACTCTGTCCATTCTTTTCCCAAAACCCCAAACATCCTCCTCCTCCGTCATCATTTAAACACCGGAGGCTCATACTGAGCAGCGTTTGGGTTCATCAGAGGGTGGTGTGTACTGTTAACAAGGTTCAAACAGTAACAATCTTCCTCCGTAATAAAGGCCCAGACGAGCAGTTCGTTACCTAAGCGGCCGCCGCAGGCCTCAAGAGCAAAGAGGAGGATAGAAACTTCATTAGGAGAAGACTGCATGTAAAAGCTTTATGAGCATATGGTTTCATTGCGTTGCCTCATAGTAAGAAGTTAGAATGAGGGTGTTCTTTAAATGGGACAATTATGATTCTGGATGATTATTCTTCCATGAAGCCGATACTGATACTAGTAAAACTATGATCTGTGGTGTACAAAATAATATAGCATAAACTGAGTTATTCCAGTCACATTTTGACAATGATATCATGTATGAAGCATCACTGAATTCTGTATTTTCTGACTGGTGGCTATTCTGAGGGAACATCAGCAGAATAACTCAAGAGTGATGAGCAGAAATATCATTTCAGAGACTGACGGACAACTCACTGCTTGCTGAATAAATTCATGTCAGGATCAACTGTTCCGCATAATGTTAAGAGATAAAATGACAAGGCAAAGGGTGGGAAGATCACTCACCACTTTGAGCTCTGGTACTGATCGACTCAATGTCCATTCCTGACTGTTAACGAAGGAATCTGGAAAGAAACAGACAGAAAACTTTAGTAAGTTATGATGTCTTTCATTTCAACCAACACTATACATTGCTTCTACACATATAACAATCCTTATGGCCATCGACTTGGAATATTATTGACGAAATCATCAACGATAATCAGAAAATCATGAAAAAACAGATGCATGTTGAATTAAGTTTTATTTTTCTTAAGAATATTTTTTAAATGTAAATAAATGGCTTATCAAACTGACAAATAAATGCTACATTTATATTCAAATGAATAATTTAGATTTAATTCTTGTTTTTAAATGACAGATGAATAGTCTATTTGTTTGTCAATTTGAAAAAAAGGAAGGATTATTCTTTTTTTTTCTGAATACATACACTGACAACGGAGTGTCCCTTAAAAGTAAACTGAAGGAATCAATTGTGTAAAAATATAAACAAAAAATAACTTTTCAAATAGATTATTATTATTGTCAATTATAAATTATTGGATAATAATAAATTATTGTTTTTAATACAAATAGATGGATAAAAATCAAATTAGGATATAATGGATGGATAAACCTAGCTAACGTTGCCTTTAAAAATTATTTAGTTATTTATTATTTAAATAAGTCAATTTATTTCTCAATTTCTTTTATTCATTCATTTTTGAATGCATACATTGATAATTGGACTGCCACTTAAAAATAAATGGAAGAAATCAGTTTATTTTTAAGTGTCCTTCCTGGTCCTCATAACACACAGCCTTCAAAAACAGTCCCTACTGTAAATGAAAATTATGTCATTCCATATGCAGAAGATCACAGGCTTTATTGTTACTAATAATCATGTTTGTCAAGTTGGCTACATGAACCGACATGACTGCGAAAACACAAGCCTCATTGGCTCAGTAAAATCCTGCCCATTTCCGTGCCACACACACACACACTATCTGTTGTACAGCCATTACATCATCACAGAGGGCACATGGGCAGCCTTGTTTAAAGCACCACAGAGGTTTTTAGCACTGCATTGTTCGGTTCATTTTTCACTCCGCTGCTCTTGTCCAATCTAATCAAAATTACTATTCAAAGCATCAGGGAAGAGAAGAAAAACCCTTTGTGGATTCAAGAGACAGTGAGAAAAACACACCAAGAAATGAACCCATTTGCGAGCGAATTTTTCCATGCATGGTACCAAAAAGAGTCTCATTCAGTTTTTGTGCGATGGTGAGAACATGGTGTGCTAAGCGTAACGCACAGCAAGTCAGGAGGTGTTTTCTTCTGTCCTTCACTTAAACTTGACGTCTCACCCTCCCTTCACACTCAACAAACTGCTGAAGTGACTCAGATGAGATTCTTCCTGCTGCGCTCAGCAACATGCCCTGATGAAACCAGGCGTTTTCAACCTCCATCCTCGCTCTCACACACAGATCCATGGAAAAGTGGACGTACGCCAACAGGCAAACACATCCGAACATGACAACCACACCTCGCAATCCCACAGGACGCCATATTACCATTTTTTCCCCAAAGATGTTTCGAGTCAAAACAAATCAACATAATTAGACTTCAGATGTCAAATAAAAACTGGCTACACGTGATCTAAACTCAATGAGGCAGGTATCAAGTAAATACTGCGGTATTTTGGAGCGACAGATGTGAATTTGTCACTAAAATTAAACCCTATTGTGGTAAAAAAGCATCAAACTGATGTTGCGCTTCAATTTGAATAGCAAACAAAGCACTTTTCATGTCATATGGGAGCCGAGGCGAACTTCGTCGTCATCAAGCTGAAGAAAATATGACTCAGAGTTTTAAAAGAGGGCAAGGCTGTTGCAAATCAGAAGGGAGAAGGTTTAGAAATAGTGCAATTTCAGGCCCAGTTGGAGACGTATAGAGTTGCATGGAAATCAATAGGCATTTTAAAACCTCTTGAAAAATGCAGAGCATTTTGGTTAAATTAATGGATAGAATGCATATCTCAAGGTGTTTCTAGTTCTTTTGCACTGTTCAAAATCAGAATGGAAATCCTCGGTGCCTTTATAAAACACAGTAATGGATTCTTTCAAGCTTCCCTTCCTTTGAAGTGACCTCACACAATTTTGCTATTGAAGCCCAGCCGTCACGACCCCAAGGCCGAAAAGTCATTCGAATTCCTTCTGAGCAGACCTGTAAGGAGAGTCTGGCACTTTGTAGGCAGGTGAGGGAAGGTAAAGCCTTCCGGGCTTAAAATACAAAGAACTCACAGCGACAGAAAACAGTCAAGATCCAGGAACGACCTGCTCGTCAAACTACCAGGGCATGTAGCGACAGGTACGCGCAATCCGCAGACATAAGCTTTGGTCCAAAAAGCTCTCAAGTTCAGCAAACACACCTACATTCCGGCTGTCAGTCAACTTTCGCAAAGAAAGGTCAGTCGGGGAGTTTGGGAAGGAGAGTTTCCTTAGTAACCAGTGAAAATAAACTCGAGCAGATGCCAAGGGTGTAAACGGCTCTTAATTTGTTATCTCCATTTGACGAATGACTAATGGTACTGCCTGAAAACAAGCCCTGTAAGTCATTTGCGGAAGCTTGTTGTGCTAAAGCGAGCTTTTCAAGAGAAGGTAATGCGAGTAGATTGTTACAATCAACACAAGTCCATTGATTGGATGACGGCCAATTTTTTTTTTTTCTCTTTTTAAAAAGATAATTTGTTTTGCTATTTTTGCCTTTATTATGATAGGACAGATCAGAGCTGACAGGAAGCGAAGTGGGAGAGAAAGAGGGGGGTGGGATCGGGAAAGTTCCTCGAGTCAGGGTTCGAACTTGGGACGCCCGTAGCTCTACAGCGCTGTATGTCGGCACGCTGCCCACAAGGCTATCGGCGCCGACATGATGGCCAACTTCTCATTGGATCACTTTAAAGGGTTAGTTCACCCAAAAATTCTGTCATTAAATTACTCACCCTCATGTCGTTTCAAACCCGTAAGACCTTCGTTCATCTTCGGAACACAAATGAAGATATTTTTGATGGAATCTGAGAGCTGTCTGACCCTGCATAGACAGCAATACAACTGAAATTTTCCGAAGTCCAGAAACGTAGCAAGGAGATCTGTAAAATAATCCATGTGACATCAGGGGTTCAACTGTAAATTTCCGAAGCTACGAGAATACTTTTTGTGCGTAAAAGAAAAATCTTAATTTGTGTTCCGAAGATGAACGGAGGTCTTATATAGGCTTAGATCTCTGCCACAATTCTGCGCGCGAATGATCATATTTTGAGCGCACAAAAGTGCATTTTGCACGCGCGCGATCTGAGTTTTGTGGAGAAAATGTGCACACATCCAAAAACTTATTTTAAATGCAAAATTGATTTTCGTGCACTCAAAATACTTTTTTCTTTGCGAAACGAACATTTTCTCCACAAAACTCAGATCGCGCGCGTGCAAAATGCACTTTTGCGCGCTCAAAATATGATCTTTTGCATGCAGAAATGTGGCAGAGATGTAATCCCATAGTCTTACGGGTTTGAAACGACATGAGGGTGAGTAATTAATGACAGAATTTTTATTTTTGGGTGAACTAACCCTTTAAAGTGGCAGTGTCACTGATTCTGCCCAACTACTGTCTGTTAAAGTAAAACATAACATGAAATAAATATAACATAACAAAAACTTAAGAAGAATCATATCTAATACTGCATCTGAACTGATCTAATCATTTAAGTGAACGCAAACTATTATGTGGCAAAAAGGTCCAGTTACAAAAAGACGACAATCTAGTTTATTATTTAAATTTAGTCTCTGCATATTCATATTAAATGCAAATTAAAGGATTGAATTAGTTTTTGTTCACATAATATATGTGTGTATTCTGTGTATATTTATTAGGGGTGTAACGGTACACGTATTCGTACCGAACCGTTTTGGTACGGGTCTTTCGGTTCGTTACGCATGTGAACCGAACGAATACAGTTTTTTTTTTCTCTCTCCGGAAATTCAAATAATAAATGGCGTTTTGACAGCGTAACCTTATAATGTAAAAGGGCTCCGTATAGTTTTAAGCATAAGCTGAGGTAGATTTTTATCACTAAGAACATTTAAACTATAACTGAATGTATTTAAAGAAAGAGCAACCTTTTCAGTAAACCATTTAAAAAAAAAAAGTTTTTCCCCCTGCTGTACCGAAACCATACCGAACCGTGACGTTAAAACCGAGGTACGTACCGAACCGTCATATTTGTGTACCGTTACACCCCTAATATTTATTATGTATATATAAATACAAACACATGCAAAATATAATATAAAATATAAGAATATAAATATATAAATGTATATGCATGTAAATATTTTCAAAATATATACTGTATGTGTGTGTATTTATACATACATAATAAATATACACAGTACACACACATTTTTTAAATAAAAACTTTTATTTTGGATGCGATTAACCGTGATTAATCATTTGATAGCACTAGATTGAAAGATCTGCTTTTATTCTGAGAATGAAAGAGATGCACAACCTAAACAAAATCTTTAAAGTATCATTAAAGACTAAAACATGTTTTTGAGATGTTAACACATAAGTGATTTTAGATTTATGGATATTTATGGATAATCTCGGCATCACTGACTCCATTCATCTTTAATGTGAATGTGTTAATAAATCAGCCCAATAAAATATATGGATCAACAAATCTGAATAACACTCTCAAAACATATTACAAATGCAAGAGTGCAATCAAACATATTTTAGTGTATATTTTTAGATATAAAAGAAAGACAGATAGACAGATAGATAGATAGACAGACAGACGCAGCTTTCCATTCCTTAATTTTTTAACACTGTGGTGAGACTTGTGCTGAAATGTGGGTTTCCACTACATAATAAGTGCTCAAAACATCATCTTCAATCCTGAAACATGTCCTCCTAATTCAAACATAAGGACAGCTCTATTCCAATAGCAGATGTGCTAGCATCTCTCCGCTGACATTTCAGTCATCTTGTGTTTGCAGAAGTTTCATTCAAATTATATATTGCAACCCAGCATCTTCAACAGCTATTTCGCGCTGCGCTTGCAAGCCAGACTTCACTGATTAAAGCCAAAAACATCATAAAAACAACCCATATAATTTGTGCTAACCTTATATAATGCTGCACACATACTTATTACAAACATTTACATCTGATCAAAATGCCACAGGCAAAACTAATACATTTTTCATAAGGATTACAAGGGAGCTGAGGTGACTTAAGGTTAAGTCTCACTCTACGTAACCTAATCCCTTTTAAAAATCACAGCGTAAAGCTCTGAAACGGCACTATTTGTCTTCACTACCTCTGAGACGACGCACAAGCTGCAGGCAAAAGATTGAACAGACAAGGAACAAAAACATGTTTAAAATATCATGAGCTTGTTGACTGCATGCCGGGTCACGATTTAACCTTCAGAGCTGTGAAAGCAAAAACAAATTCCAACTCCAATCCCATGAAAATAGGATTGTTACGTATAAATTTTTCCAAAAGGAAGAGAATTCCAAAGTAGAAGGTTCTGATAATAGAAGAGAGTCATTAAATTATTCCCTCTCTTTATTCGTCTACATCATCCATCCTTGACTCATTCCTGCAGTCTATTTGATTACCTTGAAAGCGTTAATGATTAAACAAGATTTGATGGACGCTTTTTTGCTTCCTAATTCAATTGCAGTGCAGACTTACACTAGAAGAAAACTCCTCTTGGAGCCAATTAACAGCTCAAGCACACACACACTCCAACAGAGCCAAAGCACTCGGAGTGAATAATGCATTTAACCTCTTATTATGCCTGTTGGTGCTGCCCAAGCCAGACCTTCAATATCGTTTTAATATTTAATCAATTTGCCCTGCTCTCCAAGGCTACATCCTGGCACTCAGAGTCTGTTCTCTTCAGACAAAAAGCAGCACCTTTTCCTGCGTCAGAATAGGATGTGGAATGAAATTATGCATTTTACACAACTTACCTTGACCTCTGCGCAAACCAATGCCAGTTAGAGTCTCTATAGCAACAGAATCTGGCTTTTTATTTCTCACAGGGGGGTGGCTGCCAACTGCTTGGCTTTCAGTGCACAGCTCAGATTTGTCGCTGGACAACGGGTCTTTTCTCTTAAAACGACTAGCTATTAGCTGCCAAAAACTAGTCTCTGGTTGCAATTGTTTGGTGGGCTTTGTTAGTTTGGCAGGATGGAGAGGGACCTCCAAGACTGCCACCTTGCCCTGAGTTTGGTACTGTATGTACTGCGTGGCCCCTTGATCCTCATCTTGCTCTCGAGCTGGCGTTAACATCCTGCCGGTGAGGTAGGAAAACGGGCGAGTGGTTTGCATAGATTGTTCTCCGATACTTGAAGTGCGTCTCCGTTCAGTTCGGTTCTCCTGCTCGGGTTGATTCCGATTCCGTCTCATCCTTAGACTCAAGCTCCTCCGGAGTGATCCAAATGTTGTCTTCGGTTCTTCAGTCTTGTTGGGTTCCTTTAGCTTTGTTTGTTTCACCACCACTTCCTTTCCAGTTGCCTGACGACCAAACCATCTCCATCGGAAGCCTGGACGAGGCAAACTACCGGTGCCAGTGGAAGCATGGCTTGCGAGCTCATGCCGGGATCCACTACGCTCTTTATTGAGCTCAAGAACAGTCATGCTAACGGGCCGTGGTTTGTTCTTGCTTTTCAAAGTCCGACGTATTGGTGGTTCTTCTAGTGGATGAGGAAACAGGTTAACAGAAGGCGGCATGTCGGGTTTTAGACCGTTTATCGCACGAAGCTCTGCATGTCTTATCCTACACCGCTGGACCACATCCGGGCAACCTTGCTTACTTGGGGTCGAGGTAGGCAGAAGATCGTTGTTTGATTTGGTAGCTGCCAACATACAATCACTGCGAGGTCTTGTAGCGCTGTCTTGGTGTTCGGTCGCTGTGGTTTGGTGTCTCCTGTTGTCGTCCGGGAAGACGAACATGCTCAGCACTCTTCTGCTGCCCAGGAGCCGAAGCCCATGTGCAGGCCTTCGCAAGACCACCACATGAGGTTCTGTTGCATTTTCCACAAAAACAGCATTACAATTTAGTTCCTTTATGGGAATGTGGCAAACATCAGCACGGAGTTCTTCGATCCATGCTTTGTCTTCCCTAGCCAAGTTGAAGTCTTCCGCAGACTCTTGTTGCACACAGCTGTCCTGGAGCAAAGGTGGTAACCGGTCCGTCCTCATTCCTAGTACTTCCCCTTTCCTCCACCCCCCATTCCCTGTGCTGCTCAGGTAAAGCCACCTGTTGGGCTTTCCAACTGCACTCCTCCTCTGCCCCGGGCTTTCTCGACGTTCCTCCCTCTGATTCGCCTCTCGTCTTTTGTTGTCGTCCTCCTCTTCTCCCACGTTGTTCTTTACAACTCCCAGCTCAGCCTCTCCTCTCCTCTCAGCCCCTCCTAAAGGGGTCAGAGTCTGTACCTCCTCCTGGAGTCTCATTCTGGAAAGCACCAACTTCGTATAGAGTTTTACCAACTTGGTCTTGGAGAAGAGATGTGATCCTACCTTCAAAAATCACATCATGGACACTCCTCCACAAGCTTGTTCTCTGCAACTTAAGCACTCTCTCTAACACAGTCGCTCTCGGAGTCTTTCACCTCCAGGCCACATTCCAAAGGCAAGCATAATCCCTCACTTTAGACTTGCGAGAGACGGAGACAGAGTTGGGGGAAAAAAACTTAAAACAAGCCCCAGCAAGACCTCACTGCAATTTTTACCTTGCAGGGGATTATGGGGGGAAAATTAGCACTCTACGAAAACACAAACCTGTGCGCATTGGAGCGATAAATGCAGCCACAGACTAAGAAGTCTTTGGTCTTCTACTACTGTCAAACACCGGTCTGTGCAACCCAGCAGTCAGCAGTGTAGGCAAATTCCTTAATGTTCCGGTTCTTGGCATGAGCGAGAGGGGTCTGTTTGAACTTCAAGCTGTTCCCACATGTCCCAAGGGTAACAGCAAAACAAGGAGCAGAACCATTTGTCTGCTTAAAGCGGAGCCATTGCCAAGGCACCTGTAGAGAAATCCCTGTGGGAGTTATTGCTGTGACTGAAGATTAAAACGGAGGGTGCCTGATGCTTGGGGCGGCGAGTATCTTCAGCACGGTTACCAACATTTGCACCATCCTAAAAGGCATCCAAATTAAAGGGCATTTTGTAGAGCTTCCCTTTCCCAGAGCCTGCCTCGGTCATTCTCTCTCTGGCTCTGTTTTTCCTACCCTCCCTTCCTAAACTGCTCTCCCTCGCAATTGCATTTCCTCATCCAAATGAACAAGGCCGAAATTGGCAAACAAAAATGGGGAGCTCATTTCATGAGGGCAGGATGAAATGCCAAACAGTTTTCTCATGCAAGTTTTGTCTATGCTAAAAGAAGTTCATTCAAAAAGTTTTACCACCATCTATGCAAACTCTAGGAGGGGGGAATAGCTGAGTCTATAAGCATCATAAGAAAGAAAGATCATGTGCAATGAAAACGATTTCCCTAGAGCCAGTGCCATTAAATGTGCATGAAGAAGCTGTCTCCACTATGAAAATACAAAGAGAAGAGTTCAAAGCATCTACCCCATAACCAATAGTTTAGCTTCGCTATTAAGATGGCTTGCTCGGATTCAGCACAACATGAATATCTGTTTCTAATATGGAGAATCTGACTGGCCTAAAAGCCATCTGGATTATGAAAACAAGAGAGCAGATTTTGTGCTTGTAAAGAGCACCCACAAGTGGTTCCAATGAAAACTACCCCACCTGTCCAGTAATACTACACCGCTATAGAGAAAAACTATTAGACTGATCCAGAAACTCACTTGACAATGTTTAAACAAAGATTCCTGCGGTGCAAAGGAATTTATGTGAGGAAATATTTCAGGTAGACTATGGTAACAAAAATGCAAAATCAAAGGCAGCAATTTTGTCTAAGATTGCATATGTTTTACTTAATTTGTGTCAATATTAGCCACAACTTTAATCAAACAAACGGCAGCACTCTTTGCCTTTTCCTTTCTTTCGCTCGTCATTCTTTCCCACTTTTGTTTCCTTCGTTCTTTGCATTTTTATTACTTTCCTTCCGTACTGTCTTTATGTTTGTCCGCATCTTTCCTTTATTCCATTCTTTTTTTATTTTGTTCTCTTGTTCTTTCCTTCTCTTCCTGTTTTCTTCTTTCCAATACCCTCCTTATTTTCCTCTTTAAATTTTATTCTTTCCATCCATCTCTTTCCCTTTTTAATTGCTTTCCTTATTTATTTCTCTTATTTATTTATTTTCCTCTCCTTGCTTCATCATTTCACTCTTTCCTTATTTCTTTCCTGTCACTCTTTCTTTTCTTTTTTTCTTCCAGACAATCTGCCTTAATCCAGCGATCCTTCATAAACTCGTGTCTGACATCTGACAAGTATAAGTCTGAGAACACAACAGAAGCCACTGAGCACTGATCCTAGACCAGTCTTTCCTTTTTCCAGTCGTTTCTATAAGTAAAAGTTTTCTGTAAGTTTCTTGACCATAAGCCATTGGCATCTTGAGCTTACACCCACTCAGATTAAGATCTTGGATCGATTTCCAATTTACCTAATAAATTAAATTACATGCACATATTTAAGAACACAATTGCTTACGGTTTAACTTTAAAGCCATATATTCTAAATTTAGCTCCGATATGCTCTTGTTAAAACCTCAACTAAAAAGATACCCAATGCTATAATTATTTAAAACACTACGCACCAGTCAAAACATCATACATATGTCCCTGATGACTCACTGTTCATTCGCTACAAAAATAATCACATGTAACCAAGTTTATCATACCTGAAATGCCTTCAATTTTACAGCCCCCACAGCACTTAAAATATATCTAACAAAGCAACAAGTACAAATGTCTACAGTATAATATTTTTCTAAATCGACAACACAAAGAAATGGATATTTTACATTTACAATTTTTCCTTGTCATTGCCCTCCAAATGAAAATACATCAGACCACAGATTACCTAAATTCTCGTATTTAATTTAAGAGTTCAGGTATTTATTTGCCAAATGATAGCGCTAACAAGCACTACAAAAGCCAAATAAATTGACCATGAGTCAGTACCTGTGTTGATCAGACAGGAGTTAACACCTGTACGCATGAAACAGATTATTTTCCTTTGAAGAAGGATTCATTACCTGTGTCTACCGCATAAGGGTTCGTCACCCTCGTAACCTCCGCTGAGATCAAACATTCCTCTTCGCCCCAATGCAGATGGTGGTGTCTCGGCCGTCTTCTCCCTCCAAAACACATCATTATGACGACTTCCCCAAGCTACAGGAATATCCTTTAACCAGGGACATTATCGGGCCAAAACCAAACTAAAAACCAAGTTCAGGGTCCTAATCGTGGATGTTCTTTAAGTGAGACGGCGATATCCTAGTACGGCTTTGACAGACGGACTAACGTCATGCTCAGTTCAAGTGCTTGGCTTTGTCAAACATCAAAAATGTGAGAGGGAGGAGGTGGCAGACAGGTACAAGAAACATGTCCAACCTCTGTAATCCCTCGTGAGGAGGAGGAGGCGACCACGGCCTACCTGGTTTATACCTGAAGCAGGATTAGTCTAATCCTTAACCAATAGGAAGTCATTGGTGCATTATCCGTCCCTCCGTACCGATGCAAACACACACACACAGACACAGAAACGCTATCGTACTGGACTCTGTTTTAGAGTAAAGCATGCTTACCACTACCAAAACAAGTTTAACTCATCATGGTATCTGTGCAATGCTCTGACGCAAGACGCCCCACTGATATTTCAAGTCCAACCACAAGGCTGTCGGTGATGAAACATTCCACTTGTCCTAAAAGTCAGATCGAGCAAACATCATAATTAAAAAGCAGTGCTACAAAATGCAAAATCTCAAGTGTGTCAAAAACAATAAATCACGGATCATATCTAGGCATCAAAATCGCCCACTTCATGAACTATAACCAATGTTCAACAAGTTGACTCATTACAGAAACGCACAAGAACATTTTCGGCCGAAACTACACACAAACTATTCCCATCTAATGAAATGCATTTAATTGACGAGCTCCCATAGAAATGAGAGACCATATCAACGCGACATCTCATTACGTTTTCATTAAAAACCACATCGGCGTCATCGGCGGTAGCGTCTGCGAAGCTAAATGGGTACAAATACTGATGGATGAGAGAAAAAACACATTTTGCCCATGCGAGGTGGTGGTTTGAACACAGCGCATTATATATAGCTTTCATTTATACCAATTTAATTATGCAGACCATCAGAAAGTGTGTTTCCGAATGTTTTTTTCCACCCTCAGGGCGCACCTTTATTACAGCGAACCCTTTGGAAATTGGCCTGCCAGTCTAATTAAAATAGAAAAACTGATTACGGTCAGACAATTAGGCCGCTCTTCTCTTTTATTTTAAACACTTTTAGTACCACAAGAAAGTGATGCATGCAGCATGCCACTCTCTCTTGTCTTTCTTACTAGGATGCTCTGTAAAAACTCACAGTTTAAAAACAGTAATGTTGTGAAATATTATTACAATTTAAAATAACCATTTTCTATTTGAGTAGATTATAAAATGTAATTTATTTTTGTGCATCTTCAGCATCATTTTCAGCATCATTACTCCAGTCTTCAGTGTCACATGATCCTTCAGAAATCATTCTAATATGCTGATTTGTTGCTTAAGAAACATTTCTAATTCAGTTGTGCTGCTTAATACTTTTTGTGGAAACCATGGCACATTATTTTTCAGGATTTTTTGAAGAACAGTTCAAAAGAGCAGCATGTATTTGAAATAAAAATATATTTTATACCATTATAAATTCACTTTTGATCAGTTTAATCAACAATAACAACAAAATAAAATAAAATGGTGTAGTCTAAAATATTGCAGTTCAATATTTTGTATTGACATTTTGCTGCATACAAATAACTATGATTAAGCTCTGGTTGAAAGGATGCCTCTTCTGATGAAAAGGAAACACCAATTTAAAAAATACCATCAAATGATGAAAAATATATATTTTTAGCTATATCACCCAGGCCTATTAGCATGTCAGCATCTCCAATTAGCATATCAGTGTGCAACTACTAGTCCAAAAATAATGTGACAATTTGTTAAAACACTTTTCTTGTAACCTGTAAGCTTCTGCATAAGTCCGTAGACCTAGAAAACGGAACATATGAGACCAGTCTAATCATAAACAGATTCTATATCACAAAAATTCATAAAATCATAAATCCAACATGGCCATACAGCAAGTTGTGTCCATATACATACACACCAGCAGGGGGCAGTCTGTCTTCTCTCACAGCGGACTGCTGAACCTATTAGTTCAGTTCATAAATCAAGTCTAGCATCATTAAATCTTGATTTTGTCTGTATCAACACTATGTGTGCTTTCACATAGCTGCCATCACATTTCACCCAATTATACGCTACAAATATCGAATATTGACATTGCCGCTTGACAT